CGCCGACTACCTGTGGGATCTGCTCAGTGTCCCGCCAGAGCCTGGTAGCCATTTCCATGATTCCGAGCTTTTTATAATGACTTACTTTGCGCTGGTTTCCTGCCGGATGCTTCCATTGGAAAGCTCTGGCTGCCCCGTCTTTCTTCTCTTGAGGTCTTTTGCCTCCGAAGTTACAGGTGGAGGGTGTGGAGCGCTTTGCCGTACTGTTTGGCTCCGGGACTTTGTGCTTTCTGGGCAGGACTTGCTCACGCGAGCTGGGGGTGCCCCGTTACGCTCTCCGGCTGGAGCACAGGCGTGAATCCAGGAGATTTGGGGACCTGGAGAGTGGGTTTGGTAGAGCAGAAAGGGCCACGGGCATCTGTGTTTGGTGCGAGAGCTCCTTAACTCCTCGTGGTGGGAGCTGGCACCGAGCTTCTGGCTTCCCTCGTTACCTGCCCCGGGGCGGCGGTGGGAGCGCGGCCTCGTCTGCGCTCGGGCTGAGAGGGCAAGGCAGGATCTCCCCAGCAGCGCCTGCCGTCGGTCCGGATGCTGCCTCCTGAAAGGCGGAGGGGAAGAAGCGTGGGTCCCCACTGGGGTCCTGATGAAGTGTCGCTCGGGTCCATATCGCTCTCCCACTGTCACGTGGCCTTGTTCTGTGCGCTCGGTGCTTGGGGCCTCGGCGTTTGTCTCCTTTATTGCAATGCTCCGTTAATAACGCAGTCGGCGTGCGCGGGGCCGGCAAAGCGCCTGCAGCCCCTCTTAACTCTCCGACATGATCTGCCCGAAAGTTGTGTGCGGCTCCAGCAGCTGATCTGCTGTAGATCACACGTACGTGGCCACAGCGACGTCTGCTGAAGTTACCAGCATTTCAGGTTTGCCAGAATGAATTCCTCTGGCAGGAATTGTCTAATGCATAAGTTTTTTTTGTTTTTTTTTTAATTTTTTTTAATTGTAGCTCACTCTTCAAGGGGCATTTAAATATTTAATGACTTTTCTGAGCCGTGCAGCCCCTCAGCAGAAGATTCTTTGTTGGATTCAGGACAAAGGGGCTCTAAAGGTGACTTGCAATCTGAAGAGGATGTATAAGCACTGCGTTTTTAAAAACCAATGCATCTGGCAATTAAAATATAGGGCTTAATGATACTTTCAAGCTCTGCCTTGGGATATCAGACCTGGCAATGAGCTATAATCAAAGAAAAAGCTGAGGGAGAGGGGCGGGTTTCGGGTAGGACTCCAGTAATCCCATCTGCTCCGTTTACGCTGGGGGAGGTGAAGGATGTTTTCACCACTTCAAGTGGGGCAATGCGAGGTGACGGCATCTGCTCTATTTGCTGTCATTTTTTCCTTCCTTCTTCTCAAAAACTGATTTTTAGGTGCTTTGATAAAACGTAAGATTTAATCTAGAAGAGACGCGTGTGGCCTCTTAAGTACGAACGACCCTTGGCAAGTCGGCGAGGCTCTTCCAGATCACAAATGCTGGCAAATAGAATCTAAAAATAGTAGCAGCGCAGACAAAATTGCCCAGGACAAGCCTACACGTGCGAGTTTCCATCGCAGCTGCCCCTGGGCGGGCTGGGGAGGGGTACAGGGAGCTTTGACTGGGTGGGGAGAGGACCGGGAGGCCCAAGTGCAAAGAGATCTTTGCCTCAGGAAAGCAAAGTCCGGCGTCCAGCTCCGGAGCGTTTCGCTTCTGCCGATTTGCTCCGCTGGCATCGCTGCGTGCAGCGTCAGAAATCCCGCCAGCAATTCCCAGCTTAATCTGGAAAGTGAGTATGGAAAACAGCGTGTGTCTTTTTCCCCCCCCCCCCCCGCCAAATTCTGCCCTGCAGCCCTCTCCTGAAGAACACAAAACCTGGTGGTCAGCTCTTTTACGTTGTTTGAGGATCTCTGAGCTCTGCGGGTGGGGTTTTGTGGCATCATCAGGATAGATCCGGAGTGTTTTGCCATCTGAACCACAGAGTTTTACCGAGGCACAATAAGAGGTGGCTGTGTGAGAATAGCTGATGCCCAGTCGTGCTCTGCATAATGCGTTTGGCAGAAGAACAATAAATGCGTGGATTTAAGCGGAATATAGACAGCTAATTATCTCTGAGGTTAAATGTTCAGTCGCTCCTGAGGAAATACTGAAAACCCCAAGCCCCAAGAGTGATATTAAGAAACTACTTTTTTTTTTTTTTTTAAAACCCTAAAATGGTTCTTTGTATTGTACAAATCTATGATCCTTCATCCAGTACCGTGAAAGGACTTGTCCAGGATAGAAAAAGAAGCGGCTTTGTGCCGGCAGGGATTTGGCTGCGGGCGCTGGGGTTAGACCTTTCCAGACCTGGGCTGGGAGAGGCGAGGAGGCCACGCTCCTCCTTCCCCGCCGCTCTGACCCAGCCATTGTTTGGGGGAAGGAGCTTCTGAAAGGCGATTGTCTCGATTTGAGGGGGGCGGGGGGGGAAAAAAAATAAAATATCCAAGTTACGGTCAGCGCTCGCTGCCGAACGGTGCGCTTCCTTCCTGTCAGATGCGGGGTAATAAACCTGCCTGGCTTTGATTAAAACGCTGGCCTCTTGTGTTTCGTGGTCTGTTTCAGGGCAAAAAAAGTTAATTCCTGGAACAGAAACGACCCAGGCATCTGTTGAACCTGAGAGGTGAACGGGCTTATTTTGGCTTGCCGTAACTTAACAGGTATTTGCTGAAAGCTACCCAAATCTCAGGGTTTCAGAGCTGCATCAATTCCCCAGGGATTCAGTGGAGATCTGGGAAAAACCAGGCTGTGCTCCTGCCGTGAGTCGGGGCTGGCAGTGCCCGGCGAGGGCAGTGGGAGTGCCGGTGTGTCGGCATGTTCCCAGGGATAATATTAAACCTGCCCCTCTGAGTTTTGTTCCGTGACAGGTAGAGTTAGTTCCTGAATTTCTAGTCTGAATTGTCCCTCTTTTTTTTTTTTTTTTTTTTTTTTCCAGAACACGCTATAAAATCGAGTTAATTCCCTTCTTGCGTGATTGTGTTACCGTGTGTGTGGGGGGGAGTCCAGTGCTGTCGGTAAACACCCGGGTCCTCTGAGGTGCTGGAGTCTTGGAAAATGGATTTTTATTTGAGAATGATTATAAATTACAAACAGGACAATTTATTCTCCTGAAATGCTGTTGTGTGTACTCACAGAGACGACTCTTCCGTGCTTGATCAATGAGATTAAAATAGCTTGGTAAGGGACTACTTAACTCAAAAGCCAATTAGCCAGATGCTACTGGATGGTGTGAATTATGCTCCAGCCGGGCGTGAGGCAGCCGCTGGGGACGGCCCACCGCGCCGCCTGCCCGAGATCCCAAACCAGCCGTGGTAACAACGCCCCCAAGAAGCAGATTTATATCCTTCAGAACTCCAGATTTCTCAGCAAAAGCATCTTCCGTAGACTAATAAAAAAAAAATAAAAATATCCAGACAAATTTCTCACTGTTTATCATCTTTTCCTTCAAATAGGGAGCTATCGAGTTCCGAAAGTTTGCCGAAATCGCCCACCTAGACGGAGCAAGAACAGCACGGCAAGCGAGGGCCGCGGGTGGGGGGTTTAGCGTCGTTTTTTTTTCGACTCGCTGTCTGTAAAATGTCAAGCGTTTTCCTCCTTGCTGAATGAGATGCGATGCGCCGATGCTTGTGCGTTTAACGGTAACGTGCGTTGCCAGTGTGATTTGGAAAAGTTTTATGTCGTCAGCTGAACGCCGGCAGCTCTGGGAGGCGTTTGGTTGCTCTGTGACAGGAGGGAGCCGGGTTTCTGCAGGTTGTATCGCTCCCCCGTCAGTTCTGTTATAACTCCAATATTTTATTTTAATCCTGCAGGTAGATTTCTTGACGTTCTTGTATCGAAGCTTTACTGTCTCTACAGACGCGCTTGGCGCGCTGCGTAAGCCTCATATTGCCCTTATCGGAAGGAGCTCGCCGCCTATAACGAGTTTATTTGAACTTGCCTTAACCTTTGCTATTTCACCAGTCTTGAAATGTCCACCTGGGTTTCACAGACGCCCGCGTGCGTTGCAGCCGGCCTGTTGGAGGTTCCCAGCTCACAGCCGTGTCGAAGCTGCCGGCCGATCTGCCGCGAGAGGCACAGAGGAAAGGCGGGCCAGGCTCTGACACGAGCCGGAGCTGCTTTTGCCTGTCTGGCTCTGGCTTCTTACCCCGGGGGGAATATTAATTGCACCATCGAGGAGTAAAGATTTGCCATTCTATACTCATCAGCTGTGTCGGGGTGGGGGGGTGTTTCCAAGTCCATTATTTTATTACTTTTGTGCTTAGCATTTAGCTTGCCAAAGAGTAATTCAGAACCTGCTGCGCATTGTCTGCTTCCCCTCAAGACTTAATTACTGTTTATTTTTCCTCCTTTGAAGTGGGCAAAACCATATTTCTCGGGTGATAAGGTGCATCGCTTTAAGGCCTTTTTTGAGATTTCCTGGTAACTTTACTGGCACCTTCTGTTTTTTACAGCTTGTGTCAAGCCTCTGCCGGGATGAAGCGTTCCCGCAGTTATTTGCTTTTTGGGGATGTGTACATAGAGGCACTTTTTTAAGTGTTCCTGTGCTTCGCGAATTAACTTTGAGACAATGCACGTAAAGTACTCTCAAGCGCGACGTTGTTGTCAGTACCTGTGCGCTTCCGCGCTCCTTCCTTGTCTTTATTTAAAAAATGAAATTATAAAGACGACGCGAAAGCACAGTTGTGAGTTCTTTTTTTGTTTGTTTTTTTTTGTTTTGTTTTTTAAACTCTGAGCAACATATTCCGAAGGTATTTAGCTCTGGTATCATAGGTCAGTGCGTGAGCATTTTCCTCCTCTGTGACCCAACGTTATCTTAAAATCGCAGGAGGCCCCGGAGGTTCCCGGCAGCTGGATGGCTGCACTGCTTGCGGAGCGTTTCCTGGTTGAGGACACAAAGCAGTCAGGCGGGGAAGTGAAACTTGGTGTAATCGTGCAAACCAGAGCACATCGGCCACGCCAGCACGGCCGGCAGAGCTCAGAGCTCGACCTGCCGGCAGTCTCCAGGCGTCCAGCTCGGGGGCCGCTCGCATCCCGATACGGCAGCTTAATCCTTCGCTAAATTCTCCGGCTTCTCTATTTTTGAGCAGAGTTTCAAATGCCACGGTTTTTACGAGGTGATATTTAGTGCCTCGAGGCGTCCAAACGAATGAAGGCGTTTTAATTTGGAGGGCTGGAGGCGGCGAGGCAGGAGTTCGTAGCCACCTCTCGTGCTGGGACTCTGTTTGCAGGTAAAAAATTCTTTTCCACGGTCTTTTTTTGCGCAGGCAGCGAGCCTTGACTCTGCCTCGGATTTAGACTGCTAGGGCTGTGCGTTAGAAATGAGTTTTGAACTCCTGTGTCTCTAATAAAGGAAAATCCTAATGATGGGAAACGTCTACTTTTAAATCAAAATAGGCTCATTATGACCCTGGCGATGAACCCCGGGGCAGTGTCGCGGGTCCGTGTGTCGCAGGAGCGTTTGCTGTGTTCCTCAGACCTCTAAACCACATCCCTAAGAAATAAACCGGGTTGGGGCGGACGGGAGTCGAACTTCTAATTATTATTTCGGGGGCAAATCAGATGCGTGTTTCTCAGTGCCGTCACTTCGTTTTCACGCGCCCGTGGCTTTTGCTGAAATGCATTGAGGTTTCCTGATGTTTGCTGAAATATTTTGTGTCCTCGTTAACCTGCGTTGTACTTATTGAGAGGGCGATTTCGGTGGGTTTTCCCCGCTCCGCTGTGAACGTGGCTTTGAGGTTTTGTAACGGGGGCCAGATCCTTCCCTGGGGTGAGGCAGGTTTGCCGAGGCGGAGAGGTCTCTATTGTTCCCTTACCTTGTGTATCCTGTTGTTCTTTGTTTAACCTGTCATCCTACTTGATGTGGTGCCTGCCGCCCCTGCTCGCGCCGGCTCCTGAAACCAGGAGCGCCGGGAGCACAGGGACAATACGCGTATGTAACGCCGCGTGGAGCTGCCCCGGCACCCTCGCGGTGGGGGGCGGCTTCTGGTTCGTGCTCTGTTGAAAAAAAGCAGAGAAAGCCTTGAAAAATTTATACGCTTTTGGGTGCTGGCAGCAAAGGGAATTTTGCCTTCCCTGGGATGCTGGTTGCGTTCACACACGGGAGATCTAAGAGTTGGCGCTGTCACGAGGGCTGTCACCGCGCGTAGGAGACGCGCTCCCGGTCCGCTTTGTCTGGTGGCTCTCATGTCTGTAAATGCTGATATTTGTGTACATTTTAGTTTTTTTATAATGGATTCTAAACCTCCCCACTCCTACTGCTTGCGCGATTAAGTGACGGTGTCCTACGGTAGCTTTGGATTAAGCCTGTTGAAACCGTACCGCGTCTGTAGGGATCTTGTTGCTTTATATTTTTAATGTTTTTTTGTTTTTTGTTTTTTTATGGTTCGTTGTTTCACCACACCGTTAAACACAACACAAATTTTAAAAAGCAGGAGGGAGATGGCTCTGAGAAGCTGGGAAGCTCGAGGTGCGCCTTGGCTAGTATGGCAGCAATTTTCTTATTTCTTTCCTTTTGTTTTTTGTTTTGGTTTTTTTTTATTTTTTTTTTCCTTTTTTCTTTTTCAGAACCTGAAAAGATCGACACCGACTGCTGCCGTCAGGCTTCGTGACAAGAAGTTGCTTTTCAGAGGCAGGAGCTGTGGTGCTCCGCTGGCCTGTCAGCAGATTTCTGACAACTCCAGACCCCCTTTGCCCTCGCAGCTGGGATTTTGTCGTCCCAAACCAGATATCTGCCGTTTCCCGCGTTGGTACAAGGCGCTGTGCGAACCGCGGCTGCCAGCGACGTTGCTCAAGGCAGAGGAGTCTCTTCTTTTTTTTTTTTTTTTTTTTTTTTTTTTTAATTTTTTCCCCCCCCCCCCCTCCTGTGTAGCTGGACGTTAGAGCAAACGCGCTGAGATGTCTAAAAAGCAAAATACGAAAGGTAAGATGCATGTGGACACGATGCGATCAAATGCCAATAAGCAGCGCTATCGATTCCAAAGTTATCAATTAGGAAAGGGGTTAATTGCTCTCGTTGTACTCCTCTCCTGGCTGCTGCTGTCACCTGACAGCTCATTGTCGCTCTCCTGCTGACATCCTATAACCTGTTGGGTTTTATGACATTTTTAGTCGCATTTCAATTGTCCAGCTGGACAGTTCTGATCTCACGAGTTCCTGTGTAATGTTAATTCTGCACCACTGCCACAGCCAGGCAACAGGGGGGAAAAAAAAAATCGTTTAGTTACGGAGCCAAACTTTTTTCTTTTCCTGGGGTCCCCAGGTGGTTCACGACTTCCCCTCCTGGGCATGGCCACGATGACCTCGAGTGGCATCTGGGTCTCGGGTGGAATTAACTCTACCAAACCTTCATCCTGCTCCCGAGGCAGCCCTTGACTGCCCTCTCGGAGCGCCCCGTGGACGCTGGGGTTTCGGGGCAGGCTCTGCCTTGGAGCTGCTTGTGCCATCTGTGGCAACCGCTTGCCGGGAATCCAGTTAAGAAAGAAGCCATTGAATCGAGGTGGGATAGCTCAGCTCAGGCCCCTCGCCTCTCGGGGATGCGATTCGAGCTAGGCCTGTTTAAATCTTCCTTAGGGATAGGTACAGCAGAGCAGCGAGTGAGTTTCCGGGAGCTTTTTCCCTTGCTTTGTCTTCAAGTGCAGGCTGGTTCCCCTTTTTTTCTGCCATCGCATCTTAAGTGGCAAAGCCGTCCTGGCGTCAAGCAGCTTATTTCAGCGAGGGATCTTATTTGTCGCATGTGAAACATTAATTCCAAAGTGTGTGTGTGTGGAGGGGGGAGAAGGGGGGTTGAGGGTTACGGTTCTCTTTTTATTTGAACTGACTACTAATTAATAATTTAGGGCGAATGGGTTTGACAATTCATGTCTTCTACCTCAAGAGAAGAGCTTTTGTTCTCTGTAGATTTTTTTTTTTTTTTTTTTTTTTTTTTTCCCCTAGCAGCTTTGGCATAGAAACGGTGTCTACCTGAGGAGCCCAGCCGTCCTTTGACAGCTAGATCCATCCATGATTTGAAGCAATTAGTAACAGTTATGGGAATTATTGTATAGGATAATTTTTGAGTGATTTTTTTTTAAACTGCTCTTGGAAGCCTCGGTACAAGTCATTAAGAAATTGGCTTCTCTCTGATGCTGGAAACGGAGCTCAGCAATCGTCGCTGAGTGCCTGTGGAGACAGAAACACACCTTGAAACAGCAGAAGGGTTTAGGTAGGGGAAGGGCGAGAGAAATCTGTGGGAGACAACCAGGGGAAAACACGGGAAGCTGTTACTCATAGGGAATTCGGGGGGTTGGCAAAGCCCCAGCCGAACGAGAAAGCCGGCGCGATTGCCGCTCTCGGCGTTGTTGGGCAGAGTGTGTCGGAGAGAGGAGCTGCTGGGAAGCGCTGGCACGTATTGGGTTCCTACAGAAGAGTAAGGGGATCTGGGACATAAATATTTGACACCGAGCAGGAACGCAGA